AATTGTCTAGACAGCCAACTTATAGGAACTATTAGTAATTACTATGAGGTAATTCTATTAACCACAATTTTGTATAAAACATAAAAAATGTATATAAGAGATTACATAATATAATGTGGAGGAAAAATATTAGATGAAAAAATTGATTGTATTTTAAATTAGCAAATGATAGAATACCATGTAATATTATGTAATCCCTGATATATACGTAACAAGATTCATATTTTAATTGCATTAAATGTCTATAACCTTTACTCATATATTTATTATCAATTGTTTATTAATTAGCACATATTATCTTTAATGATGCTTTTATCTAAAAAAATTGTTAGCATTCTTTAAAATAAGAGAAAAATATTCAGTCATACTTTTGCATTTTTATTTATAAATACGATTTTCACCTACCGTCAAACAACCCCCGTCCATGCCTCACACAGTCCATCACAACGAATATTTCCCCTCCCCCAACTTTGAAACTGCGTCTGCATTTTATCCTAAGTCTAAATTTGTGAACGTAAGAACCTTAGAATTCCACCACAGTTGGCATTGTCTTCTTATGACTGTGACATGTAGCGGTGGATGTGTCATCACCTAAGTGGCGACGTGTAATTGATGCGTTAAATGTGTGATTGGTTCAGTTGGTTCGATGAATGTAGAATTTATCAAAATAAAAGAAAAAAGGGCCCCCTTGGCGCCAGCGACAGAGGAGGCGGCGCCGCAGCTCCTAGCGCCGAGGAAAATTAAAGAAAATCGTTTGTTTAGAAACCTTGCCCATTTCAACTGGATTTCTACTTGTAATCTAAAAGAACTATAAATACACTTTTTGAAGACCTAAAGGGGGTTCTTTTGACTGCTAGAAGGAGTAGAAAAATAATAGAGCAAAGTTCTTGAAGAAATCTATTGAAAAAGAGACGATTGACACAAATTAGAGAAGAAATCAAGTGGCAATAAATAGTTTTTTTAAACTCTTGTCTCCTTAATCATGTTTTTCATATTAAATTTCATTTTGTCAATTGTATTCATTATGAACTAATTCTTTAGATCTAGGGTTTGATGTAATGGACTTGAGACATGTTTTAATTCCTAATTATTTCACTCTTTTGGATTTTTCTATCAATTTATTTATGTTGTTTATGTTTAATGTTTTCAATTACCTGGTCACTAGTTGAATAAATTGATGCGTGAATTTCGGCACTCGAAAGAGAGAAATTTAGGCGTGATCATAAAACTACAAAACCTAGATTTCGTAGATTTCGAGAGAAATTGCGTATTTTTTTAGGCTTGTTTGATTTAAGAACTACGTGCACTATAATTTTTACATATTTAATTTGGAATAAAGATACTGGAATTAAATACTAAAAATAGATTCTAGTCGGCACTCGAGAGAGGAGATAGAATTATATTAGGGTTTTTGCTTATAAATTGAGATAAACCTGATTGAATTAGTATGTTTAGGTTGAAATACATTGTCGATAGAACGATGAATTCGTTCCCTAGAATTTTATAATTTGATAATTTCGTGGAATTTTGCACTTGTTTACTCACCAACTTTAATTTAAAAATACTAGTTAAAATCACATCATCATCATCATCCGAATTGCTTGTCCAAATAAAGTGAAAACTACACAATTATAATATTCAATAGAGATTATACATCAGTCCATGTGGGTTCGACAATTTCACTTCATCATTATATTACAAAACTTGACACCGTACACTTGTGGCATAAATTCACGTTGCAGAAAACGCGTGACAATGATTTTTGGTATGTTTCCCCAAGGAGACGCATTTGCTATACGATTTTGTCACCCCCACCTCTTTATTTGTCATTTCCTATTATTCTCATATTTTTTAATTCTTGGATGGTCAATCGAAATAATTATAATTTAATTAATTTTTCACCATATAAGTACTTAAAATTTGTCTATTATGTTGAAATGAATGCCAAATAATAACAAAACTAATTTGGCAATCTACAGTAGAAATCAAGGAAAATATGTGTTTAATCATTTTATTTAAAAATTGAAGGCTTAAAATGTGCACTATTTTTAGATGTTTCGAATTTTGTTTAAATTTCATCTTTAATACATTGTTTTCATTGAAATATAATATAATTTGGTATATTAGAATATGATAATAACATTTACAGTAATTGACTAATTGTAGCAGAAAAACCCACTTGATATTGAACTTTTGTCAATAGTGCCACATACCATAATGTTTTATAAGAATAATGATATTTATCATTACATGTGATAATCACCGACTTTATACAATTGCATTAAATGATAGGTCCAAAATACAATGAAATATAGAGACGACCAAATTTATTGATACTATTTTTGGCCAATTAAATATCGTGATAATAGATAGAGTTACTCTTGATATTCTTAAAAACCGAGCTTGCATTTTATCCCAAGTCCCGATATGCAATTTGGTTTTGGTTCATAAAAATTGGCACTTGAAACTAAGAAAATTCTAAAATTTGTGAACGTAAGAACCCTATAATTTCACCAAAGCTGACGTTATCTTGTTATGGCCGTGACATCTAGCGGTGGACATGCCATCACGTAAGGGACGACGTGTGATTGATGCCAACTTCATCTTCAACTTTCAAGTCACTAATCCTCGGATCCACGGTAGAGACAACGAGAAATCAAAGCCTTGAGTATACTTAGACCAACGATACTACTCTGCAAGTCTGCAACTTCTCCAAAATCTGACTGGCGACGGCATTCTTTGGTCTATTTTCCTTGGTAAATCATTTCTTCTTTTGTTATCAATTCATTTTCTTGTTCTGGCCGAGATTCAAATTGGGTTCTTTGTCTATTTGTTGCAATATCTTGAAGATTTGAACTTTGAAGTGTATCTAGTATTCCAGTTTTTGGTGAATGAAATTCTGAAATTCATAATGCTTAATTGCTTATTGAATAGTCGTTACCTGTACATGTAAAAAGGGGCGGAGCCCAAGCACTGAACTTCTGGTCTTAAGGCCCATTGTTTTTTTTTAAAAGTAATGCCCTGAGGCCCATTAGCATTTCGCCCAACACCATTCAATTCAACCCTTCAACCGTTCACCATTTACAAAGACTTCGCCCCTGCTTCCCCGTCTCCACTGAATCCTCAATCCGCCTCCTTCCTTCACGTCCTCCGCCTTCTCTTTCTCTCAGTCCCGGCGGCCGGCTCCGCTCAGCTTGCGCCGCTTCCTCAGTCCTCCCGCCACTCAATTTCCGTTGCCTCATCCTGTCATCCGCCTCCGCCATTCGAGTTTGGTTCGCAGCTCGCCCAGTCGCCTGCTCCGTCGTGCCTCAACCGCCGTCTATTCTTCGGCAGCAGCAGAAGAAGGTGATTAGGAATTAGGGTTTAGGTGAAGGCGTGAAGCCTCGCGGCCCTCGCCTGCTCCGTCGTGCCTCGTTTTCACTTTCTTATTATTATTTTTTTTTAATTTTGATTTGTGTAAATTGTAATAATGTTTGATTTTGTTTCTTTTTAACACAATGCTCTTCTATTGATTTTGCCAGACTTCAATTTCCAGTCTTCCAGTTCCTTCCAGTTCAAGTCTCCAGACTTCTTGTTTTGCTGCATCTGTGACTGTGAGTTTCATACATTGATTTTCAATTGATTTGAAAACTGTGAATTGCACAATTTCTGGTGGTCAATCATTAGTGATTTGATATTGCCCTGTGATTATTGATTTGCACAGTGAAATGTGAATTGAATATAGTGTTTCCCTGTGATCCTGTGAAGTGTGAATTGGAGTTAGTATTGCCCTGTGAAGAGATTTGCTTTGACTTCTTAATTTGAGTTTATGCTAGAATTTTGTTGGTTTACATGGCAGTAATTGTTAGAATGTAATCTGAAAAATTCATGTTTAGATTTTTTATGTGAATTGGATTAAGTAGTAATTGGATATCTAATGTTTTAATTCAGGTATGAAATGAAGAGATTCTTTCAAAGAAAAACTAATGTAGACAATGTAAATGTTGATGGGGGATGTCGAATAACCAAAAAATTGTTGTTCAGCATCGATAAATTGTGTCTGCACTGAGTTACTTTCCTTGCTCCACCCCTGCCTGTAAGCCTTATTCTTACTGAAAATTCGGAATAAGCCTTATTCTTCCTAAAATTCATAAATCATATTGCTAAAAGAAAAATTGGTTTTTTGCCCATGAAATAACATTTTGCTCAAAAGTGTGTTGATGGAAGTTAAATCTCAAAAATTTATAACTAATCAAGCTTAGTTAACAAAGTCTAGGTTTTTCCCTTAATTTTTACTAGATACATAACATTAATTTCTTAATCTTCAGGAACTTGCATTAATTCTGCCATGTTGATTAACAGCAAGTCACCAACTAAAACTTAGAATTGATAAACTGTGAATTATGGCTGATATTAAGTTGAGCACTTTTATTATGAGCTGTGAATTGTGATTGGGTCATTTTCTTCCTTAAACTAATTTGAGCCTCTTTTACACTCAAGTTTTAGTAAGTGTTAGCTTTTGAGTGACTTGAGTCAAATACCACCACTTTTAAATATGCGTCTGGAGCTCAAAAAGGAAGAAGAGAGAAAGAGAAGAGGCATTAATTTGAAGATATGAATAAGTACTTTAATTGAAATAAAAGAAAAGAGAATGAAGGAACACCAGAAAACTTAGTGATTAAGGAATAACGGAATCAGAATAATAATGATAGTGTGGATGAACGGAAAGAAAACGAGGAAATGATTGAACCTGCCTCGAAAACTGCAAGACGAGTTTTATTTAAATGATCGTTTAGAACATTTTCACATTGTTATTTGATTATAATATACATATTTTAAATATTTCATTTTATTTGTTTTATTTTTTTATTTTCAATTAACAAATTTATTTCTGCAAATCTCTTATAAATGAAAAATAATTATTCACTATGATTTAGGAGTCCAAAAACTGAAGTTCGCCTCAGCCCTACAAAACGCAGGTCCGGCCCTGACAACACCCCCCGGCACACCTTTATCCAACAATGGCGGACGTGGTTCAGTTCAAGCTGGAGCGCATGCTCAACGAGCTAGACGACCTGGAGCGACGCGGCTTGTTTAGCCGCCGTGAGATAACAGAGATAGTCAAGCAGCGTCGCAAGTTTGAGTATAGGCTCAAGCGGCCAAGCCCACTGAAGCAGGATTTCTTAGCCTATATTGACTATGAGAAACAACTCGATGCCCTCCGCCTCCTCCGTAAAAAAGCCCTTTCAAAGAATTCTGGCAACAAAAAATCGAAAAAATCCATCTCCGATTACGCTGGTGTTTCTAGGATTATGGAAATTTACAGACTTGCCACGACCCGGTTCAAAAGTGATATTCAGCTCTGGTTCCAGTACTTGGAATTCTGTAAAGCACGTGGCCACGGTAGGATGAAAAAGGTAATCTTTACATTATGAATGTATATATATCAAGCAATCTATATGCAAGCATTAGTTACGGTAAAGTACGTCACATCAATTTTGTGAAGAATGGACTGCACAATTGAATTATAAGTTAATAGAAGAATAACAGTTTGGTAGCCCTATATTGATAACGGGGGTATCATAAAACCTTTCAAATTACGAAAAACTGTATGGAACAATTGTAATATATAATAAAAATGTATTAGAACATTTTTAATATCCTTGTATTATTGTCTGGCTCTAAATTTTATTAAGTCATTACCCTCACTGGAATAAAATCCTGACTCCGCCTGTGATCACTCTTTTTTATTCATTTTGTTTTGTGGAACTGAAATTATTCTTATTTAATTGCCTTTTGTTATTAGAATTATGTTAATTAATTTGTAATGATGGACTAATATGGAGCTAATATTTGAGTGGTGATGTGTGGTGAATCAATGCAGTTTCAGAGCTTTACCTTGCTCCGGAAATGGGTGTTGTATGTAATCTGGATTCAATTAAACTAGGAAAATATTTTCTTTTTCTGTCCAACATTATATAGAGATTCCTTATATGTTGATGTTATTTTTATGTAGGCTTTAGCTCAAGTAATTAGGTTTCATCCAAAATTGCCCGGTGTTTGGATTTATGCTGCTGCTTGGGAATTCGACCACAACCTGAATGTCACTGCTGCTCGTGCTCTTATGCAAAGTGGTTTGAGAGCATGCCCAACTTCTGAGGATCTTTGGATTGAGTATCTTCGTATGGAACTCACATACCTTAACAAATTAAAAGCTCGGAAGGTTGCTTTAGGGGAAGATGAAAGAACCCTGACTAAGGATGCTCGTGAAGCTGATGAGGAACAGTGGAGAGATGAGAACAACGAATTATTTATGGCCCTTGATGAGAGGAAATATGATAATAAGACATCTGGTGTCCAAGATGGTGAGTCTGAGGGGAAGGTCGACGTGCTCAGGGAACATGGTTTAAATGTTCTTCGTACTGTTTATAATAGTGCAATTGAAGCCCTACCTACTAGTTTCAGCCTCAGAACGAAGTTCATTCAGATACTGGAAGCAACAAACTTAACTAATTCAGAAGATATGCGAAATGAGATACTTAATGACATGAAAAAGGACTTCTCACAAGAACCGAAATACTGGGATTGGCTTGCAAGACTTGAAACAGCTGACTTTAAAGAAATTAAACAAAAGCAATTAAGCAAAGCAATTCAGGTATATCTTTATTACCGTTGTTATGTATCATTTTGTGTACAAAACTTGTATGGACATTTGATCTTTAGCGGACTGATGATGTACTGAGAAAGATAGTGGAGAGATTACGTGACAGGAAAGTTTGTGTGTGACATGATCATGATTAAAAGAAATAAGGATGTGGTAACAAACAGAATTAAGGAATATTTGTATCCCATTTCATGCAAATCCTATAGAAATGAGACTCTTGAAACTTGAATATTTCTTACGATATTTTTTGATGTTCAGTGTGATGAATAA